AAGCTGGGACTTGCTGTAGAAGGTGCTGCTACCAGATTTGGTTAAGAAAAACCCCTAAATACTAAACTAGCTTTTGAAATAATTCTGTTCTGTAGGCACAACTTCAAGCCTAAGTAGAACTAGGAGTAAAGCTCCCAGTTGAGTTTTTGCATGCCTGGCTTTGGCTTCAACTGAAGGCAGTGCTGGCTTAGAAAGAACCTTAAAGAATTATAGGTGCCACCAAATGTCCCAGCTGCATTGATCTTCCTTTTGTTAAGCTCTACTCATTTAACAGAGACAAAGCAGCCATTATTTTGGTATAACTTGACAGTCCATTTTGTGAAGAAATGGGAGATGCTTAAATGATTTCCTGTGGATGGGAGTGGCTTCAGGTGCCAAACTTAAAGGCTGTTAGTTGTGGCCCATCAGGTCCTAATGATTCTCAGTGGCTGCTTTTTTTAAGGAAAACTGAAGGACAAATGCAAACCCAGACTGGCTGATGACTAAATTGGCTTCCTGTTTGCTCTTAACTGCAGTCAGTTAATGATCTATCACTCATTTAACCATCCAAAAAGTGTCTCTGATACTGGAATGTAAATTCCTCTGCTCTTCCCTGCCCTGCAACCTTGAAGAAAGGTGCCAGACAGCACTGGATGCAGCTGACCTGATGTGTATGGTCTGAGATCAGGGAACAAAAGGCTGTAGGATGCAGAGACCCAAAAGGTAGCTCTCCTTACCTGTAGTGTGTGGGGTTCCCAAGGTCCTGAGGCAGAGTGTCAGCAGGAGATCAGCTGGAGCTGGCAGCTCAGAACCATTCTGCCTGCCCCAAAGGAACACTGGATGCCAGGCACACATCTGGAATAGTGACATGCCACACCCGTGCCCCAGGAGAGGAGCACACCTACTGCCTGTGGTCCCAGCCTTTGGATTTCAAGTGTTGTGTGTACAAGTCTTTATCTAAGTGGGTGTGATGCTTTTCTGTACTAGGAATGTGACAGTAGTAAATAGTTTTTGAAGCAGATTAGTGTTGTGCAGAGAGCAGGTGCTTGGCCTGGAACTGTTGCACTCTGCAGTGGTCACAAAGTGAGTGGTGTTCCTGAAGATCCAGCAGTTTCCTGATGTACTGAGCTCTATCACTCAGGTTTTGGTGCTGTACTTACGTGATGGCCTCTCTTACTCCTGGAAGAGGGAGGTAGAGCAACAAGATTGTTGCAGTGTCTCTTCCTTGGTTTCTGAGTTAGCTGTTTACCAGCTGTTGAAGTGTTTGTCACTATGGAATAAGGCAGACTCCTTCATCTGGCTGGGAAACAGGTCACACAGCAGCAAGTGTCTCCACTTGAGGAAATCTTCAGATTAGAGGGGAGATGCTTAGTTGTGTTTCAGATAAACCTCTTATAACTTGTATGTTTATGACTAACAAGTGCTTTTCTAGGTCCCTGATGATCTCCACTGTACTTTGGGAATACAAATGGCTGATCCTCTAAAAGCTTATACTTGATATTTGTTTTTCTTGTGTGCAAAACGCACTTGAGAGGCTTAATTTTCAGGGATGCAATTCCCAGCCTTTACGACTGGAGGCGTAAAGAGGTGTGAAAGGAAAAGCAGTGCTGCTGCTGCCAACTGCCTTCCCATTTGTCATCCGAAGGCTGCAGAACTGCTCCCCTTGCCTCATGCTTGTCTGGATTTGGATTGGAAGTTTGACCTTAGTCAGGTTTTGTCAGTGAACAGAGCTTACAGCTGATCTGGGCTTATCCTTCCCCTGCCTTCAACACTAGGGGGCCTCGTTCATAGAGGGGCTCTCTTTATATTCAGGCTCTGCTGGAAACCAACCTGTGGGAGCAAAGGGAGAGCTCTTCCTGGCAGTGGAGGTAGTAGGAGTGGGATCTAGTTTGTTTGGTTCATGTTTGTTTAACCATTCTGAGAAAGTCCAGAGGAAGTAGGGAACAGTTTTTAAGATAAATTCCATTTGCTGAATTTTAAACTGGGTTTGTGGGTGGCCTGGGTTTGGAAGGCTCAGAGATACGAACATCTTTATGCTTGGTTGAAGCATCCCCTTTCAGGAGTGTCTGATGGCACACGGGTGCTGCTGCTGTGTGATGGAGATTGAATCATGCTGCTCTCTTAACCTCTCTCCTGTTCCTCCTGTTCTCTTAACCCACCTGCCACAACCTGCCTGTGGATCCCATCTTCTGCCAGGCTCTGTGTGTCATTCCCATTCAGGCTTACGCTGTAATTTCCTAAATACTTTGCTGTTTCAAATGCCTGGTTGGTGCAGCCACGCTGCATACCAGATCAGGGGAATGAGCTAGGCTTAAAACTAACTCCCTGTGGCTTGGTTTTAACCAGATGAGCTCCCCAACCCAGTTTCCTGTGTGGAAGCTACCCTGCCTAAACTGGTGAGAATGGGGATGGCGGGCAGGGGTGGGGTCAGGTGCTGGGAGCTGTCCCTGCCTGCAGGTGAGAACTGAGCTCTGGAGATCCTCTCCTCTAAGAAGCCTTTGGAATGTCTTAAATCCAACGCTGACCCTTGAAGCCCGGAAAATGCAGCTTTCCACGAGGGTGGTGATGTGGAAAGCTGTCCGGCCTGTGCTGCAGCATGTCCTGGCTCCAGGGATCTCCTGGACAGGCAGCAGCACGTCAGCCAGGAGAGCCGCCTGCTCCGAGACCAGTGAGGGAGCGTTTCACTGAGGACTTTGATCTTGTGATGCTGCTGAAATCAAACCGAACCGGCTCAGGAGGTGGCAGCTCAGTCTCTCCCAGACGCTCGGGCACGAGCCCAGGGCAGCACAGCTCCCTCTGCCAGGATGGTTGGCTTCCAGTGGCAACTCCAGGGAAAAATCCAGGTTGGAAAGACTTGTGCTGGTGGTTGGACTTTGGAAAAATCTGCAGCAGAGCATTTGGGTTGGGCCATGTCAGGTTGTAAAGTGAAGTTATTTAGTATTTGGTAGGTGTTTAGCTATGAATAACTTGAGGTTATGACTCTTTAGACTTTTTTTTTTTTGGTTGGAAATTTAATTCTTTCTGCTCTAGTATGTGATTAGTTTTGTCTGCTTACAGCACTTGATTACTTTGTAACAAATTTCCAGACTCTAGCCTTTTAAAAATAACTATTCCAGAAATCTGCTTAAATTCTCTTTTAAGTTGGTGTTTTTCCTGGATGACCTGTATCCATCTTTCAGCCTGGCTGGGAGTGTTAAAGGAGGAGCAGACTTGTGCTGGCTGTTTGCTTCTGATGGGAAAAGGTCTAATTAAAAGCTGCTGGTTATCTAAGTGAATTCTGCTCTGTACCTGGCCAGTTAAAGCTGTAACTGGATTGCAGGGAGCTTGTCTTTATTGTGGATTGAAGTAATCAGAGGGAATCATGGATCTTTTGAATTTGAATCTGATTTGGTTTGATTAAACAAAACAGCTTATTTCCTGAAAAATGCAGATAAGTGAGGGAGAATGTGGATGGATGCTGTGGAATGAGTGCTTCCTGTTGCTGATAAATTTGTTCCCTATTTTCCTTATTTCTTCAGTAGTCTCTTTCTTCCAAGCTGTTTGGATTCAAGTTGCATTGCCTGTCAGTACTGTGTCCATGCTTCCCAGAAAATGAAGCTTGGTGGGAATCAACCTTTTGAGTCCTAGCACGATCCTGGTCCTTAAAGTGTTGGGAATTTTCTGCTACCTGGGATGTCTGGGATCTGGGCAAGAGCACAGCACTTGTGCATTTTCATAAATGCAGGGATATTGCATATTCATATGGGCAAGTTGTGGTTGCTGTGGGAACTGAGTTGTCTGAGCACTGTGCCGTGTCCTCTCCTCCCTGTGTCCAAAACAAGCAATCCAAAGGCTCCAGGAGGAACTGATGCAGTGAAATGCCCTGCTGGAAATGCAGTGTGATGCTGCCAGAGAAATAGCTGATGCTGTTACAAGTGTTTGGTAGCAATGTGACTGAATTGGCACTACAGCTTGTACTAGTACTACTAGGAGTAGGAAACACCTCGGTGGGTGCTATCCTGGTGGAGTGCTGTGGAGGAGGCTGCAGCTGAGAGGGGGAAGGTAGAATACTGCCAACAGGTATGGTTGTAGCTTCTCTGATCCTGCCTGTGGTGCCACAGCCTCCTTGCTGGGATCTGGGAATGCCGGCACTCCCCAAATCACCATGGGATGAAGTTGGATCCCCCCTTTGATGGCATCAGTGGCCTGTCACGCGTAGAGTACCCAACTGCCACCAACCTCTTCCTGGGCATCCGAGTGGCACGGGATGTGGCTGTGGAAAAGGAGGCCAGGAATGCTGTCAGGCTGTCTGGGATGGCTGGGGCGGACTGCACGTGAGGGATAACGTGACAGGCTGGAGTGACTGCAGCGCCCGCGGAAGAGCCAGGAGCGGTGTGTGCGAGCGAGGTGTACATCTGATGGCACCGTGGGAGGCTGTGGGGGCAGGGGGAGGAGGAGGAGACAGCTGCTGCTGCTTGGAGCTGGCTTATAAATGCCCTCTGACTCAGATTTTGGGTAGCACAGCTGAGCATCTTGTGGTTTCATCAGCCCCCAGATCCCTGCGTTAAACTGGAATTCTCAGACTATGAACCTGCTGTGTTTCCTTAGGCTGTTGTCACAGGCTTAAACTGAGGCAAGAATCCGGTGTCTCCAATACCAGTAGGCTTGTGAACACCCTGCAAGGGAGGGGAGGGCTTGGAAGGGAGGACCAGGCGGGCGGAAGGTAAACAGGCCATGAAAAATTCCTGGTGTGAAATGGGTCCGGCCGGTCCTATTCCTCCTGTACCAGCAGGATGTGCCTGCTCAGGCTGGACCCGAGATAATGGGCTGCTCTCTGGGTAGCGGGGGTTGAAGGTTATCCTTGTTACTCAGGGGTAAACAATGCCGAGTCAGTGAGGCACAGTGGCCAGGCTGAACCAAACAGATTATGCCAGCAGAATTGTGAAGCTTTGCATTGGATCTGAATCGGAGCCAGCAGCTGGAGGCTAGCCAGGACTAAAGTGTTTTTTGGGTTTTGTGGGTGGAGGGAGGCGGGGACAGGAGAGCTGGGTAGCACTAAAACTAACTGTCTGCTCTGTCGCTGCTGCTGCTCTCGTCGTTGCTGGGGGGATTGCTGCCTTGAGCCTGGTGTCTGCTGTGCTGGGGAGCCTTGCTTTGTGCTGCCTGCCTCCCCTGATTCACTGAAGCTGCTCCTCTCTCCTTCTGCTGCCGTCTTGTCTGTCGGGGGAAATCTTATCCTTTCTTCTTACCTTTATTTTGTAAGAGCTGATGCAGTTCTCTTGCATGGCTGAGTGACGTCACTGTCAGCACAGTAAGCATCAGCAGCCTGGTCACATGCTGACCCAGTCAGTAATGCAGACGGGATAGGAAGGTGGAGGGGCTGAGGGGGGTGGGGGGCTGGATTCTGGACATATGGTAGCCCTCCCTTTTGGGGTGCAACTGCTGGTTGCAGAAGCCGTGGCTTCAGAGCAGCACGAGACCTGGCTCGGGGCTTAACGCTTTGAAAAACTCCTTCTTTAAAAAGAAAAAAAGCAGCCCTGAACTCTCAAGCTTCTGTTTGTTCTCCATCTGAGCAGACATCCAAGACTCTGAAGAAGCAGTGGCAAGCAGGATGCTTTTCCCCACATCCACGCAAGAGTCTTCCCGTGGCCTCCCAGACACCAATGATCTGTGCCTTGGCCTGCAGTCTCTCAATCTGACAGGGTGGGACAGACCCTGGAGCACCCAGGACTCTGACGCTGCAGCACAAACCAGCACACAGTCCGGTGAGTCTGCTGACACATGCAGCAACAGTTGTTGGATTCCTTGTATGTTTTTGGCTGGTTTCAAGCTAATGTCGAGCGATGTGCTTGTGTAACAGGGTGCTGGTGGGGGCTCATGGGGGCTTCTCGACCTGTGGTGCTTGTGTAACGCAACTGAGTTGGGGAGGCTGTGGCTGCCTATGCCACAGCCCCCTCTGCTCTGCTGTCAGTTCACTGCAGACAAGAACTGCCTGGGGTTGTTTTGCTTGGAGCTGTAACGCTGGTGGAGGAATACCCTCCCTGGGAGAGGAGAAACCTTCTTGCTGTGTCTGGAGGGAGTGGGTGGGGGGTGTGGTGTCAGGAGGCTGAACGCTCCGGGTAGGAGTGGGGCTGAACTTCGCTCCGACAGTCCCAGGAAATCCCTGGTGGCAGGTAGCTCTGCAGCTGGGGGGGCTGTGCTTGCAGAAGGACCCCCCTTGCCTAACTGCAAAGGTCCTGGCAGCCCTGGCACTGCCCAACTGCTGTGGGGTGTGGTACAGCCAGCACCCAACAACTTCAGCTGGCAGCTCACTGGCTGGGTGGGAGACTTGGAGGGATCCTTCTGCACTCCCACGCTCAACTAGAAATAGCGGGCTGTGCCTGGCAGTGGGCTGCAGGAGATGCAGTGGAATGGCTCGTTGTTTTAACTCTTCTGGTCCAGCACAAACGTACGTGATGGGCAGGGTGTGGGCTGGCAGCCACACGCTGCTGGCTGGTGTGCCCTTCCCCCTCAATCCTTTCTAGTCTGTTTTTGCAGCTGGCATTGGATGGGGAGTTCTTGGGGTGCTGGGTGCTTCCTCTGGAGCAATGTGGGGTTCAGTTCTTCAGAGACACCAACCTTCTCTGTTAAATCACAAGAAAAAGAGGTACTGCGTGCACAAACTTAGTGCATCCGTTTGACCTGGTGTTGGAGCAGAGGTGTAAAACAGGGAAGAATTCACTTCCCAGACTTCTAGGGCTGTAAAAAACAGTTTCACAAACGGTAGTGTGTTCGTTCAAGTATCAGTCCGTGGAAAGATCTAGTGCTTTGGCAGAGTTTGTACAAGTTCAGCCTGGTTGCTACAGAAACTCATCCCTTTATAGCAGCACGCTGCTGCTTTGTTAAAAGGGGAGTGCATTGCTGCACAGACTGGGGTGACACAGAGGCCCCAGGCATGGGAATATAGAGAGCTTCTGGGGGGGCTGGGCAGCGGGATTTGCCCATGTAGATGTTGGGGGGGGAGACAAGGGGGTGCTGTTGACCACCTCTATCCAGGGGATGCTGCCCTTGGGATAGGAGAAGCTTCTGGGACACAACCCTAAATGTTGCTGCATGAGTTGTAAAATAACAACAACAAAAATCCCCATGCTAGTGGGGTAACAGTTTGAACAGCTTGATCAGCACAGCACATCTAATTTGCACAGGTCTTGGTGTGGGGCCTACCTGTGGGCACTGGCACAGGCACTTGGACTCTGCCTGCAGCAGGCAGCTGTAGCTTTATTAAACCTCACTCTGCTCCAGTGAGTAGACCTCCACATGGTCCTGTGGGCTTCCCCTAATGAACCAGGGAGTACCACACACTCCTGTCCGCCCTCCTTTCATTGCCAACTGAAACCTTGAAGGAGAGGGAGAAACAAGTTTGTTAGTGTGCAGTGGGCTGGCCTGGGGCCTTAGAGATGTGGTTTGAACCCCTTCTGGCTGTTGGCAGCCGGTGGGGCCCTACTGGTCTCTGTCTTTCAGGATCTTTAATGGATGAAAAGCACACTTAGAGGAGGTAGACACCCCTGTGAGTGGCTCTGCTGCTGCTGAAGCCCCAGCTGCAGGCTCAGCGCTGCAGAACAAGGCTGGCACACGCAGTGGCAGCCGCTTGGTGCAGATGTCCCAGCCCTACCTGCTCCACTGTGCCATCTCCAGTGCTCCCTTGGCCAGCTTCCTGCCAGGCAGCCTTGGCAGAGGTGCGGATGTCTCTGCAGTGCTCTGGCAGGCAGGTGAGCAGTGCTGGCATGAGCCTGGGGTGGGCTCTGTGCCTTGCAGGCTGGGCAGTGGGGTTGGCAGGGCCCTGCTGGGGGGCTTCCACTGCTAAGGGTGGAGGGGCTGCTGGTTTCAGGAGGAAGGTTCATTTGGAGATGATTTGAAGGCGCTCCAGTGACCTCCCTGCTTGCAGAGGGTGTATCTGGTGTCAGGTGCCCCCGCTGACTGCAGTGCATCGTGCTGGAGCTCCTGCTGCCGCAGAGGCCTGGGAAGAGCCATGGGAAGGATTGAGCCTCTCAAGCACGGCCCTGGGCTCTGATCTGCACCCCACTGCATGTTTGCAACAACCTGTGGTAACAGCTGCTGGAAGATGGCACCCAGTGCTGGAGAGGCCTGTTTCCTCACTCCTGGTATTCCCGTTGGGACATGAAGGGGGAATGGCTGGGATGTAAAACCTGCCCAACTGCAGCTGTACTGCTTGCGCAGAGGAGGCTCTGGCCTTCAGCAACCCTGTAGAGGGTCCAGTTGCCCTATGGCTGGGCGTGTCATGATTCAGAGACAGCTTTCTCCCTCTGTCCCACCTTCCCTTCCCAACTGTGCAGCAACTGGGCAAGGAGTGCTGATAGTCTGGGTTGCTGTTACTCTCCTGCTCTGGAGATGGTGTGTGCTGGCTGGAGAGGTTAAAGGCTGGTCCCTGGGCACAGCTTTTGTAGTGCTTCAGCTGCCCACACCTCCCATGTCTGAAGAGCCTCAGCCCTTTCTCCTTCCTGAGGACCCTGGACTGGCAGTGGAGCTCCTTGGGAGGGGAGAGCTTATAGTTCAGGAGCATCTCTTGAAAGACTGTGGAACACTCCGGGTGGCAGGGGAATGTTCTGCGTCTGAAAGCTGTGTGGATCTGAGGAGCTGGCAGATGCTGGTGCTTCCAGGTGGCCATGCTATGACAAGAAGAGGGAGGATGTGGTGAGGATGCTGCTGAAGCCGTAGCTGGCCTGTCCCCAAGGCCTGGGGTCTCCATTGGAGTGTCCTGTGAGCAGGTGAGGCTGCAGCAGTGCTTGGCTGTGTCTGGGGACAGGGAGGGCCAGCGCTGCCAAGCAGAGCTGTTGTGCCGCTGGCACCCAAGCGTTTGGAAGGTTCCAGCAGTGACTCAGCTGTGCAGACCCACAGGGAGGTGGCTGGAAGGGTGGAAATGCAAAAAAAAAAAAAAGCTAACAATCAGTCTATAAATATTGCTGATGTGGTCCCCTGCAGTGCTGTGCTTGAGTACTGATGAGCTGGGACCTCCTTTCCTTTCTCTGCCAGTGCAGAGCTTCCTCAGCCTGGGAAGGACCTTTGGCTGCAAACCCACATAGTGTCACCTTGTGCTCCTAGGGCGGTGTCACCATGCAGCTTGGTGCAGTGGGATCAGGTGCCTGCCTGATCCAAAGACTGGAGAGCAGCGGGGATGGTTTGTATGCCCCAGTCCTGCCAATGTACCCCATTCCCAAAGGGCTGCTGAGCCCCTTGCACCCCAGCAGGGTTATTTGTGAGTTTTCTTGTTGTACCTGGTGCTGTAAGACACTGAGGATGTGCTGAGCCCTGAGGAGTGTGCCAGAGGCAATGCCAGTCCCTGGTGTCTGGAGAGAGAGGGTCTCTCTGTAGGCAGTAACTGCTGCAGGCTTGAGCTGCCGGTAGTTATTGGCTGTAGGATTGAACTGCTGTCTCATAGCAGGCAAAGCATCTCAAATCCTCTGCTGCCACTAGATCTGTCAGGCTGCAAATACTTCAGCAAGTCCTAGAAACCTGCTCTGTGGCCTGGGGAGGGACTTCTGCAGGAAACTGGCCTTAAACACTTCCAGTCCTGCCATTCCTGGCTGTATTTCTTGAGGCAGTGTTTCCCTATCTTTAAAGTAGCCTCACAGTACAAAGGCACATGTGTTAAGGTCTCAGAGTTCGTTCATTGCTCTGCAAAAGCAGGGAGGGGTTAAGAGGCAGTGAGGTGGGACTGCCCTTGATGGTATCCTTTACCTTCACTGCCCTGTTCCTCAAGGGGCACAAGGAAATGGGGTCTTGATCCAGTTTTTACCTGGAGAAACAGCAGTGCACAACAGATCCCTGTGCAGATTTTGGGTCTCCCTGGCTGGTTTTCAGCTGCTTGGTCTGGCTGGTCTGTCCTGCCCTACATTGGGAGTTGTCCCTATGTGGGACAGCAGACTTTCCCACTGGGAAATCATCCTAAAACCTACCTCTTTAAACTTTGCAATGCTAACTGCAAGGGTGTTTTCAGCAGGATCAGATCTTCCAGAGAGGATGTTGGTCTCTGGGTGAAGCCAGCAGGTGAGCTCTTCTGATGGTGTCTGATGGAGCACCTTGCTGTATCTACCTCTCTGCTTGTTGTGTGCCCCTAAAGCTGCTGGTGCAGCAACAGATCTGAGCTTTTCCTTGGATCTGCTCTTGAGACTGCAGCTCCAGCCTCATCCGTGCCCTCTGTGGGGTGGCTACTGCTGTCTCATTCTCCAGTCTGCAAGGTTGCAGCTCCAGTCACTCTCGCTGAGGAAATTGCCTTTGGTAGGGAAATGCTGCTGAATCTTCTCAGCCCTTGGTTCTCCTGCTTCCCAGAGCACAGCAACTCATTTTTTGCAACAAGCTTGCTTATCTGTGGTTGCTTAAAATCTGCTAGGCTGGAGCTGCTGTCTGTTGTTGTGTGTCGCCTGGCAGATAGCAGAGGCCTCTGAGCACGGATCACTCTGAAGTCTTCAGGGAAAACACACCTCTGAAGGATGAAAGAAAAGACCTGTTGCACAGGCAGAACAGTTGTTGTCATGGACTCCTGCTTTCTTCTTGAGAACAGCAAGAGGTATTCATAAGCTGCTTCTTCAGGTTGGACATGTCCAGTGTCCTCAAATGCTGTGTGTGGTGACAAGTACCTGAACCCACCCAGGTGAGCGTTGCTGCTCAACCTGGGGGTGGCTGTTCATAAATCCACCGTGGCATTTGCTGGCCTTCCTCAAGCTGCTAGTTTGAGTGCTTGGATGCAGAGCTTGGGGCAGAGGATTTG